TACCTTCTGCAAGGGATGTAATCAGTGTCCACCTTCTCACAGAACAATACTGGCTCCTAGGCCCTTAGGGAGAATTACAGAAATCAGGCAGATTGTTTTTTGGTTGTTCCAATGTTTGGGGGGAAGGTGTACTACTGACAATTAGGAAAAGACAAGGGATGCTAGATGTCCTTGAAGAACTGAATCATGTTATGCCTGACTTCAAAGTGTCTCAAAGTAGATCTAAAGGTAAAAAATCTGTTTATCTGATCCTAGAACCTAAGTCCTTTTACAAATAAACAGGAAGTATGTGTGTGCTTGCAATTTAGTATGCACTGAATTTTCCAAGAATACAATCACTTTATAAAGATTGTATTTTGTTCTTTTCACATGTCACCCAAGAATTGTTGGCCCTCAGGCTGATTCTATATATAGGTTCTCTGATGGTTAATTGTATGTGTTGAGTTGACTGGGACATGTGTTCCAGAGTTAGTCAGACATTATTCTGGATGTTTCTGTGAGGGTATTTTTAGAAGAGTTTAACATTTAAATTGGTAGACTTAATTTGTGAAACAGATTGTTCTACCTACTATGGGTGGGCCTTATCCAATCAGTTGAAATCAGACATAGAAAAGGCTGTTCATCCGCTAAATAAGAAAGAATTACCCCTGTGTGACTGCTTTTGGACTGGGATATTGGCTTTTCCTGAGTTTGGACTCAAACTGAAATATGGGCTCCTTCTGGATCTCAAACCTGTTGGCATTCAGGCTAGAGCTGCTTGGTTCTCCTGGGTCTTCATTTTGCAAACTTACACTGCAGATCTTGGGCCTTGCCAGCCTTCATAATCGCATGAGCCAATCCTTTGTAATAAATCTCATACTATATTTAGTATGCACACACATATTCTGTTGGTTCTGTTTCTCCAGGGAACTCTAAAACAGTTACAAATACCTAACTACTTTATGCTTTCTAGTGTAGGGCCTAAGCATTTACATGTTGAGATCTTCTCCTTTATTATTAAGATAACTCTCTTATTTAGTTTATATTTAATGGCAAGGTATTTTAGTGCTTTAAAAAATATGCATGCATTTAAGTTAAATGTTACTACCTGTGAATTTAATTTCAGGCTAGAGAAAGGGCTACTGAAATATTAGATATACAAAGGGAGCCTTGGGGATGACAGAAGAACTTCTTTTCAGAAATTCTCCACTGTGACCTCAAGAAATGTGACCTGTTTATTAAGCTATCTAAGCACTGACCTCACAGGATGCCAGTAAACACAGGTCACTGTGGGGGCCCGGCCTACGGCCGAGGCTGAGCCCCACTCCAGCTGGACAATGCCCTAAAGATGGCGCCTGCTTCCTGCTCACCACCCTTTCCCCTCTTCCCTGTTGGGGATTGGCCCAGCAGACTTCCGTACCCGTGCACAGCTCGTGCTGCCCGCTTAGAGTGGCGCGTGACACCTATCCGCTTAAAGGTCACGCATGATACTGTCCCGGATTGGTTGGGTGACTGAATATAAGGGAGCCCGCCGGGAGGGAAAAGAGCTTCCCGACAACTGCTGTAACCACCGTGAGAGATTAGACAATAAAGCCTAGAGAAGAATCAAGACCTTGGGCGTGTTGCTTCGGTCCCTGAAGGGTCGCGACAGTCACAACCCACAGTGCTACTCCAAATGGCTGCAGTGAGACTCACCTTGAGCCTCCGCCCTGTTCTTTGAAATTTAAGATTCTCTCCAAATTATTTTCCTTGGGATTCCAGCATTCCCTTATAGCTCTTCATAATTTTTCCATAAAAAATAATTGCTTATTTGTAATGTAAACACAGGCATTTGGCTGAGGGACTTATTCTCCCCTATTATCAGTGGGGAGTCTTATGTACCTGCAGGATATGGGGTCATTTGTCCTCAGTCTATCCCCACCCAGTTCCTAGCATTGTCCTTTGCACCTTTCAGGCCCTCAATAAACTCATGTTGAGTTAAATCAGTCAGATTCATTGACCCTGAGAAATACTTACATGTATGTATGTTCAACTCTGTAGGAGTTGGTAGAAATTTTTTATCCTTACTCAAGTATGGGAAAATTTCCTTGTTTTTTGTTGTTGTTAATTTGTTTTGTTTTTTAATACCACACATATGGTTTACCTCATGAAGTCTCCTAGTAGCACTATTTTTATAACTTGGCAATGCTATCAGAAAAGGCAAACCTCTGCAGTAGAAACTAAAATTATTATATTAGGAAATGGATATTCCACTCAGTAGCCTGCAGAAGTAATATAGATTTGAGATGGTTTGGACATTTATGGATGATGATATGTAGGTGTTTTCTACATCAAGAAATCTAAAATATTAGTAAGAAATGTTGTGATAAAATAAATGTACTCGGTACAATGTCATAACTGAAAGATGGTATACTGCATGAAATCTAGAAAGGAGTAGAAAAAACAGATAAGCTTTGTCAGTATATTTTGTACAATCTCCGTGGGAGGTAGTGCTCTGCTTCCAATAAGGAAAACAAATTTCTCTAGGCTGGACAAAGGCCATTTTCAGGTGACATAAGTTGGAAAAACTGTCCTTTAGGATCAGATTCTTTCATCATTTCTGTGCATCAATCTGTTCTTTCCTGTTCTATAAATTATTCTTTAGGGAACAAATATTGCCAAAAAACTATTTGGAGATAATCATGTGAATTACTGATGTTACTAGCTATACATTCCAGTGTAAAACAGCAAAGTGACATCCAGGTTTGGATTAGCTCAAATCAGTTTCCCAAGGCTTATCAGCAATGGCATGAATTAATCAAGATACTTTGAATAAAAAGCTTAGGCACCCTGGCTCACCATAGCGCAAATGATCCATAAAATCTACCTTTGAGTTTTTTCTGTTTCAAGAATTTTAACTTTCTAAATACTGCAGTATAATGGACCTGATATATGAATATTGTGTAGAGGGGCCACAAATTCCTTTTGCAGATTTTAGCCACCTTTCTCTTCCATATTCTTGTAGGCTTCTTCTTCTCTGTCAATTCAAATCATTTAAGCAGTTTCTGATAGCTGAAACATATCCATGTGCATGAGTGTGCACACACACACACCTTTCCCCAGGTCCAAATATGTTTACGTAACTTAATCCCTCTAAATTCTCTACCCATTTTCTCTGCTGAGTCTTTCATTCTATGAAACAAAACAATACCAGAATTTGCTGTTGACTATCTTCATTAATGGATAAACGGACAGAACCAAAGGTGCATAAAAGCCCCAAAAGAATGATGAAATTATTATCCTCTAATACCTTGAGAAAGATGGTAGATGAGATACACAAATGAAAAAATATATTTTTCTTCTAACAGAATTGAAGGAGGGATATACACACATACATATACATAAAGTATATACAAAATGCACACATGCACATCCAGGCCAGAGCTACCACAGAGATTTTGTTGGAAGCTAAGTAGACAGGAAGTTTGAAAAGAGCTGGAGATTGGCAGCTGACTTAACTGTAGCCCAAATCTTGAGTTTTCTAAATGAACAGGCCTTTTCAGTGGCCTGTTGGTCTTCTTTTTCTCCTGCTCTCTTAAAGTAATACTATCTAGAGAAACACTGTTAGATTTGGGATTCTCATTTATAGGATTTCCTTTATGACAAACTAGATGATGTTTAGACCTTGTTTTTACACAAGGTTACTTTTTCTTGTATTTTTCAGTACAGTATTTGACACATAAACGGAACATAACATGTAAAGTATAAAGCAAATTATATCAAGCACCCATGACAACCTCAAATCTAGAATGTTGGCAACAACTTACATCTCTCTTTTTCCCATCTTCTATCACGTAAGTATCCACTGCCTGATATTTTAAAAGGCATATTCACTTAGCCGTCTCTTAGAAAGTTGTTTTAAAATCACACATTCTTCCGTATATGCTTTATAAAATGGTATTATATATGAACCTTCTGAAATGTTTCTGAAATTCCATCAAGTACTGTGTATTTCTATCATTTGCTCTGCTATATGGAATGCCATTGTATGAATGTGCTGCCAATGTCTTTATTGTTTGGGGCATGAATATGTGGTTGCTGTTAAGAATAGCACTGCTCCCTTCTTCTATGTCCCCTGCTGCAGGTGTGCAGAATGTTCTTATATAAATACCTACGAGTAACCGTAAGTCGTTGGAGTTCCGTAATTGGATAAAGGGTATCATCAAAACCTTCAGCAACTACAATTCGGTGTGAAAGTGTGTCCAGAATGATGCCCAGGCAAACACCAAAATAGTTTTAAACATGTCATTCCTAAGGGCTTAAAATGGGGAGATGGAATTGGACTTCCTGAACTGCTGGTGGGAACGAGCCCTTTTGCTTACTAATTTTCCTTTTAAATGACTTACAAATAATTGGTAGTAAATACAAGTGACACCGAAAATATGGACATTCTTACAGACGAGGTAGAGAATAGAACCTAATCCCTCCCACACAGAGGAATTTCACTCAGAGAAAGGGAGTACAACCGCAGAATTCTCCCTTAGGATAGACTGACAAAGGGAAACCGGTGTTTAACTTAACTTCGCGCAGCGCCTGGACTGGCTGTCGACGCCAGCGTTGGCACCAGGTTGAGGTGTACGGCAACTTGAATTGGGTTCTCACTTTTATTTTTTCCTCTTAAAAAAAAAAAAAAAAAGTTAAGGCTGTTTAGTTTTCTTCGTGTGCCAGCTGACTCATTAGTAAGGCACACGGTAAAATTAGACCTAAAACCATACATTTTCGTATTAGGACAAGGGATATTTTTTCTTTACTACTTTTACCTGATAAATCTAAACCTTCTTGGCAAAAAGCCATGTAGAAATACCCTGAGCGATGCTGCTGCATATTTTGTACTGAAGTTAATTTCGAACAAGATCAAAATAAGGAAACGAGGAAATTGCTTCATTGCAGCAAATAAATACCCGCTGTAAAAAGTTAGTGCCAGTTCTCCTTAGAACAGAGTGGCTCTGAAAAGAGCCTTTGGGGTGTGGAGCAAGCCTTACCGAGTTTCGGTGCGGGGGGGATCACTTGGAGCTGGTGTACTTGGTGACGGCCTTGGTGCCCTCGGACACGGCGTGCTTGGCCAGCTCCCCGGGCAGCAGCAGGCGCACGGCCGTCTGGATCTCCCTGGAGGTGATGGTCGAGCGCTTGTTGTAATGCGCCAGGCGCGACGCCTCGCCCGCGATGCGCTCGAAGATGTCTTTGACGAACGAGTTCATGATGCCCATGGCCTTGGACGAGATGCCGGTGTCGGGGTGGACCTGCTTGAGCACCTTGTACACGTACACCGAGTAGCTCTCCTTGCGGCTGCACTTGCGCTTCTTGCCGTCCTTCTTCTGCGCCTTGGTCACTGCCTTCTTGGAGCCCTTCTTGGGCGCCAGAGCGGACTTGGCAGGTTCAGGCATGATCGGGAGTAAGTGCCACAAAATTCGAAAACAGGAAGAACAAGTATGAGGCTGTTAAGTATATTCTACGTTCACAGCTTCTTAAAGGCAGCAGTGAATAAACTTGTGTCTGATTGGTGGTTAAGTATGGAAACGTAAATTAATTTTGTCCAATCAAAACAAATGTACTTCAATACCATGACGCCATTGGTGTAAGTGAAACTGTAGCTGTAGCCAATGGTGTACCTTCGTTTTCGCGCCCAGTAAAGACTATAAGCCGGTTAGTTCTGGCCAATTCAGTTCCCATTCTAGCCAAACCAGTGGCTTTATTTGTACAATGTCCGGACGCGGCAAGCAGGGAGGCAAGGTTCGCGCCAAGGCCAAGACCGGTCGTCGCGCGCCGGACTGCAGTTCCCCGTGCACCGCCCACTCCGCATGGGCAACTACGCCAAGCGGGTCGGGACCGGCGCGCCCGTGCACCTCGCGGCGGTGCTGGAGTACCTTACGACCGAGATCCTGGAGCTGGCAGGCAACACGGCCCTCGACAAGACGCGCATCTTCCCGCGCCACCTGCAGCTGGCCATCCGTAACGACGAGCTCAACAAGCTGCTGGGCAAAGTCACCATCGCGCGGGGCGGTGTCCTCCCCAACATCCAGGCCGTGCTGCTGCCCAAGATCGAGAGCCACCACAAGGCCAAATAAAGACCAAGTTTGGAGGCACCTGAAAAACAAAGGCTCTTTTTAGAGCCACGCAAAAATTTAAGAGTCGCTTTAACATTCTTTTCCAGAGCCCGCGAGCAGCAGCCACGGTGAGAACAGTGTAATACGGAGCTAGCTGCGAGCCTAGATTGCGGCAGCCGGTACCTACGTAGCGGCTGTAACTACGTTTTGCGTATACAGAAAGCTGGCGCGGGGTTTTAAAACCTACACGTCTCGTGCACAGCCATTTCCCAAAGACCTCTGAGTGGCTCTGAAAAGAGCCTTTGGGGTTGGTTGCCTTCTCATAAAAGCAGCTTACTTCTTTTTCGGAGCTGCCTTCTTCGCCTTTGCAGCTTTGGGTTTCGCTGCCTTAGGTTTAGTGACCTTGGGCTTGGCAGCTTTGGGCTTGACGGCCTTAGGCTTTGCGGGGCTCTTGGCAGCCTTCTTTGGTTTTGCCGCACCTTTCCCCTTCTTGGGACTCTTGGTTACCTTTTTGACACCAGCCGCAGCAGGCTTCTTAGCTTTTTTGGGAGTCTTCACAGCTTTCTTGGCTCCCGCAGCCTTCTTAGGCTTTTTCGGAGTGGTACCTGCCGGCTTCTTAGCCTTAGGGACACCCACCTTCTTGGCCTTGGGCTTAGTTTCCCCAGAGGCCGCCTTCTTGTTCAGCTTGAAAGAGCCGGAAGCGCCGGTGCCCTTAGTCTGCACTAGGGTACCCTTGCTCACCAGGCTCTTGAGGCCCAGTTTAATGCGGCTGTTGTTCTTCTCGACATCGTATCCCCCAGCTGCCAGAGCTTTCTTGAGCGCAGCCAAAGAGAGACCATTGCGCTCCTTAGAGGCAGCCACAGCCTTAGTGATCAGCTCAGAGACTGGAGGCCCGGTAGCCTTACGCTTGGCCACACCACCGCCAGCCGACTTCTTAGTTGCCTTCTTTTTGCCAGGAGATTTCTCCACTGGCGCCGGAGTGGCCGTCTCAGCAGGAGCTGTTTCCGACATGGCGACAGGAATAACTACTAGAGAATGAGAGTTTAAAATCCAAAGAGCAAGTTTTCCAATGCTTTCTTACTCGGGCCCGGAGTTTATATAAGCCGGTGCTGCCCTGTGATTGGTGGAGCGCCCAATCCACCGCCCTCAGGCAGGCGCCTCTCGCGGTTGGACTCCTATTTGTGTTTGTTAGTCCCCAAGATTTGATTAAAAGCTAAAATCGGTGGGTCAGAATGTGACCCTTTGAAGCTCCAAAGGAGGAAAATAACCTCCAGGTTCACATGCTTTCTGTTTTCATGAATCAAGCGCACTTGGTAAAAGACTTTTTTTAAAAATCCCTTCAGCTTTTCTGATGAATTCTCTGTGTTTAGGGCATCGCGCTGCTTAGTTCAAGGTTGCAATAAATTTCATGGATATATCAAATAAACGTTTTTGCATAGGCTTTGTCTCTAGTTTTGGCATTTAATTTCTGCAAAAGGAAAGACAGTAGGTTCTTTGGTTTGGGCACAAACTTTGTTTCTAACTGTAGCAAGTAACACAGGCGCAGAGCAGCTAGGTACCTACAGCCCCACATTAACCACATAAACCTTTCTTTAAAAATTGGTCCTACTTTCTTGGACTTTGCACATGCCAATGTCTTTAGAGAATGGTATCCTGCAGGTTGGAAAAGTTCAGTTGCCAGAACGATTTCCACCTTACAGCAAGAGGAAAGGAAATTGCTTTGGCTTCAGGATCCAACAACCTGAATTCAAATTCAAACTTAAATTGGGTATACTTTTGATTGAGATACTTTCTCTTTAATTCCTATGTAAATCCATTAAAATAAGGCCAAAAAAAAATGCTTAGCCCAAATAATGTATTTTACAAAAACTCTGAAACCTCTAAAAAAATTATTCAAGGTCTTTCCAGGAACCCTCCAAAGTTCAAACTGTATAGGTGACATCGGGCTTTTTGGGTTTTTAAGGTGCTCTTCCCAGTGCTCCTATTCAAATTCTTTATCTTCATCAACATGTGGGGATTATTGTGTATTTAAGCATAGACCTGTATTTTAGAAAAATAATTGGCTATTGAGACTATGAGAAGGATAGATAGGGACTGAGGGACTAGAGGTTATAGAAGTTGAGAAGAATTCAAGAAAATTCTAACTATGGCCAAACCTGAACAGTGGCCTGCTTTGGTGTCATTTTTAAGAGTGATTTTTATATCGTTAGGTTGGGTTAGAAAAAATGTGATGGAGACCGTATGTGGCCTGCAAAACCTGAAATAGTTACCATTTGGCCCTTTCACTATGTTTTGAACTCTTCCACAGACAGAGATCATGGTATATAGCTACAGGCCTACCTCTTTCAGAACAATGCAGATCAAGATTTAATGAAAAGAAAGTTTTTACCAGAAAATGTTCTAACCAAGATTTTTCCACTCTTTCAATAGCAAACTTTCAGAAGACCCCGGAGGAAAAAAATCTGTCAATCTTAAGGGTCAATATAAAAATAAGTGCTAACATTCACTAAGCATTAACTAAGTGTCAGGAACTAATCTAAATATGCTCTATAGTTTTAATTCATTTGCCACATTTTGCAGCCATATAAGCTGAGGCCCAGAGGATGAGTAACTGTAAAACTAAGGTCACAATACAGTTAGTAATCCACAGCTCTGACCTAGACCACCTGGCCTCATGCTATGTGAGAAAACTCTAGAAGGGATGGGGAGAGAATCTGAAGTTTGGAAGCAGCAGCAGCATTAAGTCTCTACATCTAATAGCACTAACATGAGCTCTAAACTAATCTACAGGAAGAGGCTTCTGGTCCCATTGCTTAGAACTCTGCTGAATCAATTCCAACACTTCCCCCAAAATTTTGGAGTCAGTGGTTGGGATAAAAGCCTCTGAAAGGGCAAATCCAAACAAAAGAATGGAAGGCCGATAGCTGACCTGCCCGAGAACACTCAGGAGAAAAATAGCTCTTACATTAACAGCTACTTCTTGGAGTTTGGATATGTACCTAAAAAGTTGAACACCATTACTTAGGCAATTAGTCATACATGAAGAGCACGTGAAACCTTGTGAGAAGCTTAAAGTATCAGAAGATATTAATAAAGAGCCAGAGCCAGTTAGAAAACACAGAAGTTTGGGAACCAAGAACAACTTTAAATGACACCTCAAAATTAATTATCAATACAATTCTTTAAAATAAGGAAAATCCAACCTCACACCTTCCCAGGCACATTTAAAGACGTGAACAAATGTAAGCAAACAGGCAGGTCTAAGTTCTGGAATACTTTGGCAAAATTAAACTGCTTTTGCCATTCAATTGACCTTGAACAAAACTTTCCTAAGACTAGGACTATTTCCTGCAAACTTACTGTTGACAATGGGTTAATTTCTATTTCAAAATGTTTCGATCTCTAAAACGGTTGCTTCATTTTTAAGGCTTATGAAGAAACGGCCCGTCACTGGAGTATCAGTCGGGTCTGTGGATTAAATATACAAAACATTAATCTCCCCAATTTAAGGCATAACCCTAAAAAGTGCCCAGCACTAGCACAGCACACAACTGAGGTAGAAATTGTCTCATGGGAACATCTTGCATTTTCTCCACACGGATAGCACATGTTCTGAAACTACAGATCCTTCCTGCTGACAACTGAGGGGGATTCTGAAAAGAGCCTTTGGGGATACACTAGAAATGCTGAATGTCTTAAGCTCTTTCACCGCGGATGCGGCGGGCGAGCTGGATATCCTTGGGCATGATGGTGACACGCTTGGCGTGGATGGCGCACAGGTTGGTGTCCTCGAAGAGCCCCACCAGGTACGCCTCGCACGCCTCCTGCAGTGCCGTCACGGCCGAGCTCTGGAAGCGCAGGTCGGTCTGGAAGTCCTGCGCGATCTCGCGCACTAGGCGCTGGAACGGCAGTTTGCGTATCAACAGCTCGGTGGGCTTTTGGTAGCGGCGGATCTCGCGCAGCGCCACCGTGCCGGGCCGGTAGCGGTGGAGCTTTTTAACGCCGCCCGTGGCCGGCGCGCTCCTGCGGGCCGCCCTGGTGGCCAGTTGCTTGCGCGGGGCCTTGCCGTCGGTGGACTTGCGAGCCCTCCATCTGCTTCGTGCGGGCCATTGTCAAGTAAAGGGAACTACTTGACAACGAGAGGAAGGAACGGTCCTCCCAGAATTTATAGCGATCTTCGCTTTCTGATTGGATAGAATCCTCCTGTACCGCCCTGCCCGATACACAGAATTGGTTTTGGTTTCATCCTGTAAGGAAGCATTTTCCAGCCTCAACTTCGGTTTTTGCATTGTTATCGTACTTTCTAAAAAAAAGCCTCTAAAAAGCATTAAAATTCTAAAGAAAATGTCTCGAGAAAGTGCCTCTTGCTATAGTAAATGAAGTGTCACGATTTGATTGATAAAAAGTAACACTTGATAAGGAACAAAATGAAGTAGAGGCATTTATAAAATGAACGTGATTTGAAATTCTACCTATTGTGCTACACCCAATATTTTCAAACTTGAGCTTGCTTAATCACTGAAGAGCTCGATAACATTAAGGGTCGGTAGACTTTTTCTATGGAAGGTCGTAATAGTTTGCGGCATTGCTGGCTATGCTGTCTTAACCTTCGTCTTGCCAGTGGTACTGCGATAGCCTTCATGGGGTAAATCAGTCAACAGACTGGCTTCCAGTCAAAACAAGCATTATATAACTAACAATCATGGAGGGTTTTGCCACCTTACCTGCAGGGTGATGGATATGCAGGAAGGTTGGGGTAAAGGGGCAAAATCCCACTTAAAATTCTCAAGTTACAGGGTGTTCCCCGAATACCAAACAGTCTAAAAAACACCTTGGAAATATACCTACAGGTCTTTTAATAGATCCCGTGGGCGGCCCTAAAAAGGGCCTTTAGGCTTTGGGATATTTACAGTAACTCAACCGCCGAATCCGTAGAGGGTGCGGCCCTGGCGCTTGAGCGCGTAGACCACGTCCACGGCCGTGACCGTCTTGCGCTTTGCGTGCTCGGTGTAGGTGACGGTGTCCCGGATCACGTTCTCCAGGAACACCTTCAGTACCCTGCGGGTTTCCTCGATGAGGCCGGAGATGCGCTTGACCCCTCTGCGCCGAGCAGGGCGGCGGTTGGCGGGCTTGGTGATGTCCTGGATGTTGTCTCGCAGCACTTTGCGGTGGCGCTTGGCGCCACCTTTACCCAGGCCCTGCCCGCCCTTCCCACGTCCTGACAAGTTTACAATGTGAAGCACCTGTTTACCGGACTTTGAAGCAGTGTTTATATAGTAGTTTGTCGGACCAGTTTGGGAACTCCTCCTGGCCAGCTGTAGCCTCCCAGTGAGTTTCTCCACCAGAACCCCTGCCCAAGATTTCAGGAAAAATGGAAAGGGCGGTACTTAAACTCCTTGGGTTAAAATGACTCCAGATTAAAAATTCCTATCCTACTTTTACCGTTTTGCGCATGCCCCCCCCCCATTGGGAGGCCGTTCCTTTGTCTAGGTCAGGCCTAGCTGTTTTTTTTTTCTATCACCTTTGCTGTAGCATCCGTCGCACTACAGATTTATGGCTGCTGGAGTCAAGTTAGCCCTACCCAACAGCAGTGACTGCAATCTTCGGAAGCCTTCTTGTGTGCAAAGTGCCTTTTGCATAATCTCAATTTAATCGGTCTGAGAAATTGTTGACTGAATGTGGATGAAATTGTAATATTCCAGAATCTCTGGCCTGGCTTTAGCACATCTCCATATGAACAGGCGTTCCAAAGAGGTGGAGAAGTAGTCATCTCCATATCAATGGGCAACCGAGGGCTTATCTGAACCTGAGAGGTTTGGGGAGGTGTTTTTTGCATCTTCCTGAGCAGCAGAGAGAAACCCCCAGGACCTAAGTTTGTAAGCAATAAACGGGACTTAAACTTTATTTCTCCTTTTGACTGATTTCAGTTTCAGCTGGGTACTTTGCCCGGGATTTCCTTCCACCACAGTTACATCTGGCGGTCGGCAGCACCTCTGAACTCTAAATCTGTCATAATGGGTGTGACCTTTGTGAGGCTGACCCCAGAGATGATGTGGAGATGCCCGGAAGTCCCCTGTGGATGGTCGGGAGGCCTCAGTGGATGCAGCAGCAGAGGGTGCAGCTTCACCTGTTATTGCCCCCCTATCTGTGGGGCTTCCAATTGGGAGCCCCTAGTGGGGAACTGCTCTAGGGTAAAGCACCTCCTAGAGGGGTGGGGCCTTCCCCGGAAGTGGGGAAGGGTGGAGACGCCGAAAGCTGCAGAATTAGCCCTCCGTGTGATAGAAGGCTGCTTAGAATCCCTGAGTGGTCATGTAGCAGCTGTTATTGTAGGGTCTCTTTTCATCAAGATAGTAGAAAATGTTATCCAGGAGAGAGAGAGGGCTATGGAGGAGAAAGAGGATTATTGAGAGGGTTAGGCAGGAGAAAGACACACCTCAGCATCGCTTGGAGGAGCTGGGTGATAACCCATGGGATGCGATTAAGGAAGACAGTTACTGAAAGGACAGGTCACGATCCTGGAAGATTCCTTAGCAGCTGTGAGGGGGGAGGCGGCAGGAAAAGCAGCATTGCAGGAGGCCGTGGGGAGGGGGAGGAAAGAGTGGTGCCTTCAGCCCCGGAAATGGAGGAGCCGCCCCTTCCCCAGGTTGTGGAACACACCATGCTCGGTTCTTATACCCAGGATGAGCTGGTGGACATGAGCGTCCATTACAGGCAGAAGCCTTCGGAATCTCTGCCTACATGCCTCTTATGTCTCTGGGATATGGGGGTGGAAAACATTGTTTTATTGGGTACTGAAATGAGTAGATTGGCTTCCCTGACAACTCACCCTTCCCTCTGGCAGCAGTTGCAAAATGCCCATCATGCCTCAGGGAATCAGACACTCCTGAAATGGCTGACAGCTGCCATCAGGATAGTTTGGCCTAATCAGGGTGATTAATCATATTTACCCACTAGCTGGAAAACGTTTGTAGAGCTCCAACAGGTACAGTGGGAATTGGGTATGAAAAATATCATCTACAATATGGACCCTGAGGGCCCCAATGAGGAGGTGTTCACTGTAAGAATGAGAAATCTGGTGCTGCATACAGCTCCCACATCTCTCTTTGGGTCCCTAGTGAATACTCTTGCCCCCCACGCAGGGCAACCCATACGTGAGGCTACTCGTACTCTAGCAGATCTGGGGGAGGTTAAAACAGGGCACGGAGGGAAGTATGGGCTACAACCAAAAGGAGAGGTGCAAAAGGACTCGTGAAGGTCTTGAGGATCCAGATGTGGGTTGATTTGATAAAGGCCAGAGTAGTGAAAGAAAAACTCGATGGGCAGCCCGATAGAATCTTGTTAGAACTGTGGCACCAATTAAAGCCAGAACAGCAGTTCCAGCCACTGAGGTCCAGGACACGGAAACTGGAGTCAAGGCCTCAGGCCTGGCCTGTGTCCCTGAAAAACTTCCTTGAGGACAGTACTCAGGATTTGCCTGAGCCCCCCTCACTCCTGCAGGAGGAGGATTGGGCATCGCGGTTTGACTGGGGGTATGGAATCAAGGTCTCTACCTTGGGGGACATGGTGGGGACCAGAGGCCACATGTAGAATTAGCAATTCATTGGGTCCCTGTGAATGTACAACGTGTCCTGGCACTGGTGGACATAGGAGGTGAGTGTTCTCTGATTCATGGCAACCCTTAGCATTTCCCTGGGACCCCTTCTGTGAGAGATGGCTATGGGGGTAAAGCAATTAGAGTGAAGAAAACCCAAATCCCCTTGGGGATAGGGTGTTTACCCCCAAAGGAATATACTATGTACATTTCTCCCATCCTTAAGTATATTTCAGGGGTAGATGTTCTGCAGGGCCTGTGGTTATACACCACTGCAGGTGAGTGCAGACTGAGGGTACATGTGGTAAAAGGCAATTCTGAGGGGATATGCGAAGCATCCACCTGTAGCTCTGCCTGTACCTCAGCGGGTGACAAATACTAAGCAATATAAATTGTCTGAGGAGGGGCACAAGGAAATTGGAGAAACTCTATAGGAGTTGGAGAAGGTGAACTTCATAAAGACCATGCATAGTCCTTTTAATTCCCCAGTGTGGCCAGTGAATAGGCCAGACAGCTCCTGGTGTATGACCATGGACTATAGGGAATTGAATAAAGTCAAATGCCCTTTTCATGCTGCCATCCCCTCTATAGCAGCCATTCCGGACATTCTCAGCCATGAGCTGGGAAAGTATTATGTTGAAGACCTTGCTAATGCTTACTTCTCCACTGACATAGCACAGGAAAGCCAGGAACAGTTTGCCTTTATGTGGGAAGGCCAGCAGTGGACATTCACTGTCCTTCCACAGTGACACCTCCACAGTCCCACCGTCTGTCATGGGCTTGTAGCCCAGGACTTGGCCACATGCAAGAACCTGCAAGTGGTGTGATTGTATTACTGCATTAATGATATTGTGCTCACATCTGATTCTCTTGCAGATTTAGAAGTGGCAGTTCCTAGACTGCTGCAACTTCTGCAGGAGAAAGAATGGGCTATGAACAGCACCAAGGTTCACGGACCTGGTTTGTCTGTGAAATTCTTGGGGGTTGTCTGGTCGGGTAAAACTAAAGTTATACCTGAAGCACTCATAGACAAGGTCCAGGCTTTCCCCACCCTTAGTACTGTAGCAGTATTACAAGAGTTTTTGGGTCTTTTGAGCAACTAGAGAGCGTTAATCTTGCACTTGGCACAAATTCTGAAGACTTTATACTGGTTGGTACAAAAGGGCATCAGATGGGACCGAGATGAGACATGTGCACCTGCTTTTACTGATGCCAAGTGGGTAGTCAAGGCTGTGCAGGCCTTGAATGTAATGGACTTATCAAGGCCCTGTGAGCTAGATGTTTCTGTAACCAAAGATGGTTATAGATGGGGCCTTTGGCAGAGGCTTGAAAGGATACACCACCCTATTGGATTCTGGTCACAACTATGGAAAGGAGCAGAGGTCCAGTACACCTTGATAGAGAAGTAACTGGCTGCTGTGCACCACACATTGCTGGCTACAGAGCCCCTCGCTAGAACAGATCTGATCAAGGTAATAACCACCTATCCAGTCATGGGGTGGGTGCGAGACTAGATTCCAAGGCCAGAGTGGTGTGGCTCAGACGCCTCAACTGGCCAAATGGGGCACATATTTACAGCAGTGTAGCGCCCTCTCTCCTAGCTCTTTAAGTGAAAAACTCTAGCACTTATTGGGGCCAGAGTCCTATACCAGTGGAAAGCAAGGAAGAACTTGCTTTTGAGCCGTTGGTAGCAGAGAGTCCTTATCAGGAGGGAAAAGCCCCTACACCTGAAGATGCTTTGTATACGAATGATTCTAGTCATAGGCAACCCCTGAAGTGGAGGGCTTTGGCTTTCCATCCTAAGACAGATAATATGGATAGAGGATGGAGTTGGGAAGAGCAGCCAATGTGTTGAGTTGTGGGCAGTATGTCTCGTGATCACCCAGGTTGTCTGCACTGACAGCTGGGCCATCTATCATAGCTTGACCCTGTGGCTACTGACATGATACCATGCCAGTTGGATGGTTGGTCACCAGCCCCTTTGGGGGCAAGATTTGTGGCAAGACCTATGAGCCTCTGGTCAGACTAAGACTGTTACTGTATATCATATGACTGGCCATTTGGCTTTGGCATCCCCAGCCTGGGCTAATGATGAAGCAGACACATTATCCCAGGCACACTGGCTAGAAAGAAAGCCTGCCTCTGATGTGGCCCAGTGGCTACACCAGTGTTGTTGCACATGGGGCAAAAGACAGTGTGGGCTGTAGCCCATCAGTTCTCTCCACTGACCTTTGAAGAAGTCAGCAGAGCCTGGAAGGAGTGCTTTGCATGCTCTAAGAGGGACTTACATCGAGTCCCACAGCAACATGGGACAATAGTAAAGGAACTGATACCCCTTGTCAGGTGGCAGTAGAGTATATTGGGCCTCTGCCCATATCAGAAGGATACTGGTATGCCATGACGTGTGTGGACATGGCTACTGGACTATTGGTTACTTTTCCTGCATGTGGTGCAGATCAGCAAACCACCAAGAGGGGCCTGGAGTGTCTCTTTGCAGCCTATGGTCAGCTAAAGGTAATTGAGAGGGATCAATGCACCCACTTTACTGGACATGCATTACAAGAATGGGTGCAGCAATTAGGAATAAATTGAAGTTTCATGTGCCATACAACGCTACCAGGTCAGGCATGACAGAGGGGTACAACGGTTTGT